CGTGTAAAAAAATCATTTTTGGACATCCAAACCTCACAGATTAAAACAAACTGAAGTTAACATGTTTTCTTTATTTTTCAGTAACGTTTGATATGAGCACTCAAAACATGAGACTTTAGGTTAGCCTTTTGATGGAAATTTTTTTTACAAAACTGACAACAGAACATTGGTTCCTTCCCACATTCATATTTAATATGTCTATTTAAAGTGTTCCTGTGCTTATATAGCTTCCCGCATCTGTCACATCGGTATGTCGGATCTAAAAAAAAATATCGTGAAAGATGTATTATATAAAATGGTTAATATCACGCGCATCTGTGACCTTTAGGCACACCAAGTAAAAAAGTAGAAGGAACGGTACTGCATTTTTTTCAGGTTTTTTAAAAAGGTCGAAATCAGGTATTTACCAGCTTTGGATACCTTGGATTTCACCTTGATAATCATTTTCAAGGTTACTCCAAGGTCAACTTTTTTTCTTAAATGGAAAACCTCCTTTTTGAAGCCGGCAATAGAAAGAACGAAAAATTCCATGTGCAACTATCTATTAAAATCTGAAATCACTTCTAAATGCCAAATGAAGGCCCAACGTGTGAAGCTAATGGAAATTCCTATTAGTTTAGCAAGATTATTGGTGGAAAGAAATTATTAAGGACATGTCTGTAGTAGCTTTTAACAAGGATTTCAATGGTCGCCTTGGATTCAATCTTGAACGCCACCTTAAAGTAATTTCAATGTCAACTTTTTTAAATCGGGAACCCCCTCTTTGATATCGGCAAAGCAAATTGTACGTTCTAACACGATCCCATGTACTACTACGACCTTGAAGGTGAGACTCAAGAACAAAACCAAGGTCAATATTCAAATTCTTGTTAAAAGTTATTAAGGTCTGATGACGTAGGAATATCACCAATACAAAGTCAAAAAGCAAGTAAGCAGGTCGAATCTATGTGAAAAATGGCGCCAAGATAAACGATTGTGTTCAGCACAAGTTGAACCCTCTAACAAAAAAATAGTTACTAACTTGTATAACTAACAGACCGCAGAACTAGTGACATATCGAACGCATTTCTCCTTTATTCAAGTTTAACGGGCAAATGCACGGGGAGGTTGGGAGTGTATAAACACCAAAAATTGAGATAACCCTCCCCGCCTCCACATTTTTGTATCCCTACAATGTTATCAAAACTGACCAGGATCCTCTGAAACGTAAAAAAACGAAGTTTGATCGGTATTTATGTTTTTCGTTTTTGCTCTTATTGTCCGCCGCCACATACCGACAGACAGACCCGCAGAAATGTGACACGGTTTTTTGTGATGTATGAAGTCATATAACATCCAAAAAATATATCTCATTTTCGAAATCTTGTGCGATTAGAATACTTCTCTGCCGATGGACGTAACGGTGATAACAATTCAACTGATTTCAGTACACTACACTTTTGAAGTAACAGAACTTTAAAAAGCGTTTAAGAACCGCCAGATACTACACACAACGAAAAAAATAAGATATTTCAAAAAATAAACTGTTTTCGTTCCCATTTTTGTATTAATAAAGTTGTATGTATTTACGTATATGTACTTAGGATCAAAATTAAATCATGTAATTAAAACATAACTAATATTCAGTGTGTGTTTTCACTTTTTTTCAAAAAGTACTGACGATAAGTAATTTTAAACAACTCTTATCTTAATGTAAATTTATTCCGGCTAAGCATATTTTCATATAGGAAACAGAAATTCGTCAAAACTATATATTACATTTTTACCAGTTTAAAACTCAACTAGCAGGTAAAAATATTCAAATCTAGAGCTGAAGTTCCACACATTCAAGTCTTCGCACTGTGTGAAACATGTTTTCATAAAATAAAATAGTATATCTTCAGAACTGTCAGTTACATTTCATTTTTCATGCTCTAAAACTCAACACATTCAAAAATAACCAAAAAATACTCAGGTCTACCTGGTGGCAGGCATTAATGTAATCACAGTGTGTGAAATATGTATTCATAAAACAAAACACATTTAGGAATACAAAAAAACACTAAAATCTACTCAGGTGGCAGACGTTTGTGTCTTCGTACTGTGTGACTTCTCAGATTGCACTTTCTGTAAAATGCCTTATTACAGTAGGAACACGGAAGCATTGGATCTTTTCCGCACTCGTGTCTGATATGGCTGTTAAGATGTTTTTTGTGTTTATAAGCTCTGTCACAATGTCCACAACGGTGAAGATCAACTGCAATTCAAATTAAATGAAAAAACGATTTTCATATCTTCCATAAATCATGCATGCAATACTACCAATATAATGATATATCTATATACTTGCTGGAGCTGCACATGTGTGTAAGGTTGTAGGTGGATCAACGAAAACCCCTTGATATACGACCTCACTGTCTATACATAGAATTAATCTCTATATTTGTTCCGAAATGTAATAGCTCGGGGATATCTCCATTTTGTGAAGTTTTTGAAATTCCAATTTTGAGCTTACTCCGCTCTCATATTAGATGATCGAGTATTGTTGTTTTCAAAGAATGGCGAAGTCCCAATGAAAAATATTTTATTTCAACTTTTGCTGCATAGTGTTATCTCCTCATTTTTCCAGAGTTCCCATCAAAAATTGATACATCTCTACTGCACAAACTGTTAGATTCAATGATTAATCAAACCTAAAAATTGTATATGCTACAATTCTACAGAAATAGTCTAAACGGTTTATCTGCCGTCTGAAATAGATTTAATTAGCATGCCTCACCTGATTGAAGAAGGTTAAAGCGGAAACTTCGTTATTGTGCACAAGTACTATACCATAACCGCTCTTGATATTAATAATCTCTATCTAACTCTATCCCAAAGTTCAAGCGCTCTATAGTCCCTTTCAAGGTTTTTGTCACAATGCAATACGAAATAAGTAAACAGATTGACTATCTCTACAATGTGCTGAGCTCAACACCTCCAAAAGGAAATTGCACGTCGATCATTAACGCAGCTGCTATTCGCTCTAGTACCCACACATATTGGATGATAGAATATTGTTTTTTTATCTATGTTGCTTGATCTAACAGTCTGTTGACATTGTTCTTGTAGCTTCAGGCATTGCTATGCTTTATATCAAAGGAGGACAGAAGGCAAACTAAAATCGCAAGTTCATGGCAAGCAATTTGTCATACTGACAGTGACAAATATAAAAGACTCGTACGTTGACGCAGAAATTTTAATGGCCCGCCAAAAACCGTAAAAAGACATGTAGGTATGTTACAAGGGGCAGATCTAAGATGTAGCACACAACACAATGTGCGTCGGGCACTGAGATACGAGAGGTCCCACATCTCGTGGTTCCGGGGACCTCAAACTAGAGGCGTTTATTTGTGTTTTGAAAAACTGCTCTCCCGTGCCCCTACCCGCTCCCCAATTATCACCAGCGGCATAGCAAGGCCGGAGTTTGACTCTTTCGCGAGGCCCATATGCATCCATAGTGTTCAAAGATCCGCCGCATATTAATATGATTCCGTAACCTCCGTGAATATAGCCAACCACAATGAATTCCGGTGTCCAAAAAGAGATCTGATAGATCCTAGCGCCATCCATGAGACAGTCGCAGAAACACTCTATTTCCAATTTAGATCCTCCGTGAGAAAAATTGATATCCCCCGCTTTTTGATAGATAGATATATGTGTATTTCTGCTTTTCAAAAAGTTTTGAAGCAGGTGCACAAAAATGAGCGTCTAGTCGATGATCGCCTCCATCCCTGAAAAAAATTCCTGCGTGCGCCCATGTCCCGCTTTATCCTATCATACGGTGAGGTTCGAAATTGGCTGCTGTCGTAATGTGTACGAGAGAGAAGCGCTAGAAGCGTGCAATGTGTGTGTTGCTACGCAATGACGTGCTTCTATATTTTTGTCTAACACACATATTGCACAATTCTCTCTAGTACTCATTACAACGTCAGTGGTATTTGGTTTTCAGTGTATATCATTTGGAGTGGTAACGCTCAGCTAGTGTTGCCCCTGACCCTCCTTAGAATACTCTGGCTGTGTAATAGTGTTGATAACATGCTGTAGATGCATTCGCGATGTGTGGGACTTCAGACTAGATTTTTGGTGAAAAGCCTTAGCACAATACGGACAAGGAAACATTGGCTCCTTCCCACATTCATATTTGACGTGACTGTTGAGATGTTTCCTGTGTTTGTAAGCTTTATTACAAGTTTTGCAACGGTGATATCCAACTGAAATCAAAATTAGATAAAACGGTAATAATATATTTTGCTAATCAAGCACACACACACATTTACTAAAATACTGACTAAATGATGTCTAGATCTCACTGCATAATGCTTTTACGATATGTACATTCAACAACCCTAATCAAAAATGTACAATATTGCCTGCCGATACCACTATCAATAAATAATTTTCGCTATAGATGCAGAATGGTGATAAGCTTTTTTTTGTAAAAGTATGCATTTTATCTAGGGAAAACCCGGGCAAAGCGTATTCCCCCTTTTACATCCAAACCATAAATCGGTCATCGCGAAAAAGTGCAAGTCACAGTCGTCCAACCGTCTAAAATTATTCACAATCAGTTCCATCATTCATCATTTCAACAAAAAGATTGATATTGCAAAACAGGTGGTGCTAATAATTTAAATTTTATACTGTGAATACGATGGCTTTTCAAGATATCTAACGTACATATATTTGAAGAACTCTCTCATGATTGGATCGATGGTTTTGGGAAAAAACAAGAAAAGTTTCAAATAAGTGATTTCGGACAAAATGGATAGTGCAACATGGATAAGGTATTCGCCCTTAACCTTATTTTTTTTCTTAATGAATTTAAAATTTTGTTGCAATTAGAATATAAGCAGGGAAAGAAAAGTAAATCAAGGGTCCTTGTCAGAAAAGCTCGATTAATTTGCGCAAAACTGCAAATTGATAAAAATGTAAATTATGAAGTACCTATGAAATTAGATTCAGAGCAATTTGTGATATGTGCTCACTTTAGCCTGTGGGTCCAGGCAAAATGGATAATTTTGCATCCTTTTATTTTTTGTTATTTTTTCCGTGATTGTTACAACCGGGGATTATTGTTTATTTGTTGGAGAAGGGTAAATAAAGAATCTTTTTTCATGTTGTGCATAATTCTGTATTAATATTTCTATAATAGAAAGCTCACTTTGACCCGGTCTCTTCTATGTTCCGACTTCATTCCTAAAAATTGTGACACGCTCCATTTTACTCTGGTCGTGGAATAAAACCACAGTTGCAGATTGAAAAAGTTTCGGACATCTCGGTGTCATTTGTCAAACCACAATGTAAAAGATTTTACTTAAACCATACCGTTTGAGTTGTTAGCGCCGATCTAGTGTTAGTTGCTATTGACATTTCCTATAATGATCTGGCTGTGAACTGGTTGTGTTTACATGCTGTAGATGCATTCGCATTGTGTGAGACGTCAGACTGTATTTCTGGTAAAAAGCTTTGCTACAATATTGACAAAGAAACATCGGCTCCTTTCCGCATTCATATTTGGTATGGCTGTTAAGATGTTTCTTATACTTGTAGGTTTTGTAACAATATTCACAACGGTGGTATTCAGCTGGAACGAAAATTGATAAAAGGTACCTTCGAATAAGTACATATTTAGTATAATACTGACAAGGCTCCTTTTCGCATTCATTTTTGATGTGGCTGTTGAGATGTTTCGTGTGTTTGTAAGCTTTGCCACAACTTTCACATCGGTGATTTCTGACTGAAATGAAAATTATATGAAGAGGTCGAACACTTCACATTTACTAAATAACTACGAATGTGTGGCTGGTGGGTAAAATAATGGTCTTTTCTATTTTAAAGTTTTAGACAATAAAAATAACACTGCTGAACAAAATTAAAAAAAAATATTGTGACATGGACAAAACAAGGTGGTTAATATGTAAAACGTACCCAAAAAGCCGGAAATGGCATTCGATTTTTTCTATCACCCACGGTTTTCTTGCAATAAGCCATTTTATTTGCTGCTTATACTCCTAAAATATAAGGATATGTGTGTGAAGAGTACTAATAAACACTCGAATAAACATTAATCTCAGAATGTTGTTGTCGATGGTTTACGGCGATATGTTGCTCCTGAAGTATCTCTTAACAATGTCCAGCAATAATCAGCTAATAAATTGACACTCAGTTTGTCTTGATACCGTTTTTCCATAGCAGAAATGTCTTGGTCGAACCGTTCACCATGTTCATCACTTACCGCACCTAAATTTTCCGGAAAAAAATCGAGAGGCGAATCCAAAAAGTGAATTTTTAGAGACATGTTACATCCCATCCCTTTATAAGCATTAAATAGATCACTGACAATATCTTTATAATAATTGTCCGCCTTCACATTGCCTAAAAAATTTGCAGTAACTGATTTAAAAGCATTCCAAGCTCGTAATTCAGTTTCATTCAAAGCACTGTCAAATACATCATCCTTCATGATTTTCCGTATTTGTGGACCCACAAATATGCCCTCTTTAATTTTTGCCTCACAAGTCACTTTATTTTAAATGCAGAAACCCTCTTCCATTTCGATCCATAGATTTCACAAAATTTTTGATCAGTCCCAACAATATGCAAAGGTGGAAGCAACACGTTTTTGGGATCAAGTAGTGGTTCATGAGCAATGTTTTTGAGGTCCGGAGTTAATACCTGACGTAGTTCCGTCTGTTCATAATGACGATCTCGCGCACGACTGTTCCATTCACAAAGAAAACCACAATATTTGGTTGCATTCCAAGAAGAAGGACTATTACGTTTAGATCTGCACATATATGGCCCATTCATATTGATTATAATGGACATGCTCTAACATTACTGGCATATTTTCATATGATTCCTTCATATGAACTGCGTGCGCTATAGGTCCAGATGGATATTTATTACCGTTGTGTACCGATACCGCTTTTAAACTAAGCTTAGAGGAATCAATGAACAGGCGCCAATCATTTGGATCATGTTTCTGTCCTAACGCGTCAAACAAATTGTTGACATCAGAGCAATATATCAACTGCGTTTCTTGACGGAAACAGAGTGTGAGGTCTTGTTGCCGTTTTCGGTATAAAGCAATGTTAACATCACCGTGGAGAAGATTCCATACTTTTAATCCTGACGCTAAAACTTCTAACTGGGATTTTGACAGATTTAATTCTGGAACTAGGTCATTAAGTTCGCCCTGTGTGATCAAATGCGGCGCTGTTGAACATCCTGGCAGGTCAAACGAAGGATCTGAAATTTTTAGGCTTTCTGTACCATCACTTTCTTAATCGGCGGATTCGAATTTTTCATCCAAAAAGCAAGATTATGGTGCAACTAGGACAGAAAGTTCATCTCACTATGCTTAACGGGCCGCAAAGCTGATGGTTACTTAACAGTATGTTTCGATTTTGGTCCAATACCTTTAATATTTGTGAGCCAAAAATAGCAATCAGAAGTATGGTCTCTCGGTTCTCTCCAAACCATTGGTATCTACCGCAAAAGGCATTTCACGATTGTCGCCCCTTAACCAACCTGTTAACAACGTTACACAAGTCTTTACAACATATATGAGGGACCCATAGTTTATCTTTAAATTTAAATTCAATTCAAATTCAAAATACATTTATCTTGGTCGCCAACTTTAATTCCAAAATAAAGTTCGTATCCTTTAGGGGAGTAAAAGTGCGTTTTTGGGATTTCAAAGTTAGCTCTCCGCACACATAGCAAAAACTGTTCGCACTATTTACACAATTTCTAGACATTGTCCTTAAAGCTAGTCTCGATCACAAAAAAACTAAAAACAACACACCGTTTTAACAAAAATTAATAGTACTCAGAACATCTCAGTACTCTTCAACACAGAAAACGTAACTGACTTGGCTGCCATTAGTCTACTAATAAATGCAATATGCTCTCTAAACATAGAGCTCGCATATAATAAACAGGAATAGACAGGTCTTAACATTATATATGTGCGTCATCACAGAAACGCTGAGAAATGCAGTAATATGAGACGTATTGTAATTCATAAAAGTAGATGTTACCGAATATCTGTGGGGAGAGAAAAATTCTGTTTATAGATTTGATTTAAGGATCTAAAAATACGCACGCCCATTGAACAATTCTTAAGGATGAAATTTGTCAATAAGATCAAGATACTATTAAATACAAGGTAAATACTTTGGACAATGCATCGAGCTGACTGACGTCGTAGCCGAATTATAGGCGTAAGCTCGTTGAATGAACCAGTCAGTGGGGTAAATAGAATAATCTTCTTTCTTTACATATTCATACTTTGTATACAATTCATCAATGCGCATATACGTTGGGGTTGACTTATCGTTTATTTAACAGTCAACATGATAATGGATATCTGAGAGATTTTTGCCCACAGACCGCCTTATTTTCAATAAAAGTAATAGGGTGTTGAAAGGTATGTTTTATTTTGCGAAACACGCACACCGTGCGCTTTTCTCTTGATGTGAAATCACCCCTTAAGTAATACCTACTTGGTGTAGTCAAAAATTAGATTTTATTTTTTTCAGATACTTCAAAAAAAAATAATTCACTTATGTTAGATACAACTAGTAAAATACAAGAATAATTTCAACAACACAATTGCACACAGACTCAAAATATGAGTTTCCATTAAGTATAAAAATTTCAATTATTTGTTTTTTCACTTTTGATAACTTGCGACAAGACGATCATCCAAAATATAGGGTGTCCCCTGAAGAACTTCAGTAATCGATTGCTGAAAAAGTTGTCGTAAGAAAATTTGAGGTTAAAGCATGGGATGGGGGCAATTCGGCAACAACATTTTCAAGATGGTGGCACTTCCTGTTGTACCTGAAATAGATACCGATTTGCTTTTTTTGAATATTATTTTTGGAATCGGCGCGATATTATAAACACATATACCTGTTTTTGAGATAGGTATCCCAAATTTTGCGTAAAAAGTGGCAAATGAAAGACAATAAATCATTATTTTTTGCGTATTTTTGTCGTATGTCTTATGTAGGGACATACTTTAATTAGATTTTATTCCTGATTTAGATGAATAGTACAGGGTGGTCGAAAAAAGAGAATGAAGGTCAGAATTTATAAAACCTACTTTTTTATAATTTCAACGTATTAAGCATTGAACATAGGAATGTCTACTTTGCAAAGTAATAGTTTTCGAGGTACATGTAAATTTCGGTATAGGTACTCTCAGTTGATCATGTCTGAAATCGGGCGAACAAGTCAGGATATCACGCTATGGCAGCGCCATGGCCGACTCAGATTATCTTATGGTAGAAGCCGTATGCAGCATTTAAGCAAGTGAAAATCCAATATAATTCGGAAACTACTAATTTGCGAAGTAGGCTCCACATAAAATTAACCGTACTTTTAACGCTTATTACGATGAAAGAACAAGGACAGTGGCTTTCATTTGGAGAAAATAAATAAGTCACATGGCAAAGGCAAAAATACAAGAAAAAATTGTTATAATTCATTGACCTGCACTTGTTATTTTATACGCAAAATTTGAGTTGTCCCAAAAACCGTCAGACTTAGGACAGGATGATATTCTATTTGAAATAAGCAAGTTGTCATGTACTTCTAGTACAAACAGAAGTTCCTTTTTAAAAGTATTTGCGCCAACTCGCTCCTATCAGTTATATTATAATTTGGGATACCCTGTATATAAATCTGCAACTAGTGGAAGCCGCTAGTGCGCCGCAGCTCGAAGCTATTATTGACCTATCATGTACAAAACAATAGCCAAAATTTCGACTTTTTCAATGTTTTATTAACAATTAAATTGGAACACGTATTACCGCATTATTAAGGTCGGAGGTTAACCTACAGAAATACATGGCAGCCTAAATACTGGCGTCCGTCGCATCGCCTCTAAGGTCTTTTTCACGAGTATACATTTTGGTAGGATGACAGCTGATCATCTAGTAATATTTTGAAATTCCCCACATCGACAAATGACAAAATTCTGATGGATCCGTCAACGCCAGGTATACATAGGAATATTTTGTTTTGACTGATTGCACGATACTAATCATTTTGTACTTGCTAATAACTCTTTCGCTTAGAAAAATTCATTTGCATACAGAAAAACGCTACAAGCAAGCTTTGCCAGATCCACGGACGCATTTGCCGATCAGCTGTACACCTCAGTACGTCAAAACCTGATGGATAGTCGTGAAAATAAGATTTAGTCGCCACGTCAGTTAAATGCAACAAGTTAGTCCTGGCGACATGGTCATGGCGTGTAGGTGAGGAAGGTCTCTCACTCGAATTACGTGGCTTCTGGAATTAGCAAATGTAGGGCGATACACAATGGGAACATTTCATAAAAACGTTGCATTTTTAAGTTCAGAAATTCATAAAAAATAACGCGTATCATACATAGGTACATACTAGGTTTGGCGAAAACCTTTCCATTCAACTACATCGACTAACGACTTCTAACCGAAATCCATTGTTCTCTGGCATACAGCTCTACAATAAGCTGCCCAGGCAACCGCAGCTTATAACCAATCAGAAAACCAAATGTGAAGTAAAGGAGCTCCTTATACAGAATACATTTTACACAGTTAAGGAATATCTAGAATGTTGAGACTTAAAACTTTAAGATTTCTATGTTTTTTCTATGCCAGCTTTTTTCAACTACTTTGTCCTTACATATACGACTGGTCCTACACTGTAAAAGTCCAGGGAATAAACAATATATCTCTATGTATCTATCCGTATTCAGTATTCTCAGTGAGCTGATACTCAGTGAACCAGTTTTCGTTGAAAATAAAGCGATAGCCCAGTAACAATTAGCAATTTTGCTGTAATAATCTGTGTGACCCCATGTAGTTTTCAGCAGATTAGGACTACTTCATTCCTGATTCAGAATGGGTCATCATGCTCCTGTACTGCAAAACATATATTACGAGTATCAACTGAGGGGTCATTTACAGTAACAGGTTAGTTTCAGTAATATCCTTCTTTTATTTGTTGGCATTGGGACATAAAT